AGTGGATTCTGTTGGGTATATTCGACTAAAAGCGGTCGGAAGGGTCGAAATCATCGAATATCATAATTGGATGTGATTTTGATGAGGTATGGACCGATTGGAGCGATTATTGTTAGTGGGCCGATTTTCGTTCTTATGCGGACTTCACCTTTGTTTAAAAACTTTTCTTTTTTACACCATCCCATTCATACATCTCGAGATAGATATAGTCTAACATTACTTATTTGTTACGGCTCTAAGAAACGTTAACTAGCACACTAAAGTAAGGTTCTTCTTACTTGCCATGCTAGTGAACTTGGATAATACTGACTATCGGACCTTGAGCGAAGAGATCGACGCGTTACTCATCGTGCTGTTTTTTAGATTCATACCAATGTACTTCATTCTCTGGTTCTTCGTTTACAATGTTGTTTCTACGGTCAACTTGATTACACCGCAAGAGCAACAACAGCAACCACAAACAATCTTTGAACGCTTCTCACTCCAACATTATTTAAAATATAATGATTCATTTCTACTCGATTTAATACACGAAGGAACGCCATCCAAGATATTTGCCTATTGCAGCCACCTGCTCGATGTATTTAAATATTCGTCTTCTATTGATAAAACTGCATTGTTGTATGCTGTAGCCACTGCAACGTTTGATCTTGCTGACTATAGACATGCTCATGAATTGCTTTTGCGAATTAATCAAACTACAAATGTGGATTTAGAACTCAATGAAACACAAATGATGTTAGATAAAACACATCAAGCCGTCTCTGCCTATCTTCTTCAATTGGAATCATTACCGGATGAACATTTTTTTTATCGTTGGTCGCCCTTGTCAGAAAACAGTCTAACAACGACTCTATTGAAATCATATTCTCTCTCCCCAACAGTCGAATATCAACTACGATCCTATTTGAAATACTACAATTATCAATTAATTAATCAAACAATCTTATTACAGCTAAGGAGATTAATAGCAATTGAAACAGGAAGGGTGGAACAAGTTTACGAAGTTACATCTCAGGAAATTTAGAAAATGGTAACAAGTGGGATTGAAAGTTTAGACGAGGGACAGTTAAATAAGACAGGAATATCAAAAATAATAAATTCACAAATGGAGTTGTATAATGTTTCGACCGTATCCCTACCGAAAAATGTGCTATCTGTCAATTTATTAAAAGAAATTCATAAGACAATCGTCTTCCACGCACCATTTCAACCTGTCTTTGATCCTGAACGAAACGCTAAAATACGTGTTCTAATCCCCAGCGGCCAGTTTAAGCTCATACCCAATTCACCGACACGTGGCAATGGAAAGTTATTTGAGTTCTGTCTGCCGAATCAAGTGGAGAATCCAGTGGCGGCGCAAGGATTTTTGGATATGCTGTATCTTAGCTTCAGAGCATGGGACTCAGATGTAACTTGTGGAGGATGATATTGGACCCAAATGATGAGTTTATTCCATTGACTGTAAGTCTATGGTCATACGAAAAAAATTCGGGCATACGAAAAAGTGAAAGTGTTTGTGTGTGTGTGTGTCCGTACACGGGTGTGACGGACGTACGTACACATAGTCGTGTGGGAGTGCGACGGACGTACATACATATAGTGACCAGTGAGTGTGACGGACGTACATACATAGAGTCACTAATGAGTGTGACGGACGTACATACGTATAGTCACTGACGAGTGTGGTGGACATAGATGCACATAGGTCGATGAGTTCGAGTTTTCTGTGGTAGCAGAGAAGTATAACACTTATCCTGGCTGCGAACGCGGACCGAAGGAACGCGTGAGCATTGTGTGGAATTCAGAATGGCTATAGATTTACAGTCACGAGAATAAAGAAATAACGTGAATGGCATCGATTCACTAAAATACATCTCTGCTCAATTCTGTAGTAACAAGATCCAGTTACAATAAAATGAAGAATATTCTCGACACGATATTCATTCCACTTACAGTCGATGGACCGAGTGAATCGATGTGATTCACGTTATTTATA